TGCTGCTGCTGCTTTGCTGCTGCTTTGCTGCTGCTTTGCTGCAGCTTTGCTGCTGCTTTGCTGCTGCTTTGCTGCTGCTGCTGCTGCTGCTGCTGCTCCTGCCTGCCTGCTAGTGCTGCTGCCTGCCTGCGCTGGCTGCCTGCTGGTGCTGGCTGCCTGCTGCTGCCTGCCTGCTCCTGGCTACCTGCTGCTGCCTGCCTGCTGCGGCTGCCTGCTGCTGCCTGCCTGCTGCTGGCTGTCTGCTGCTGCCTGCCTGCTGCTGGCTGCCTGCTGCGGCTGCCTGCTGCTGGCTGCCGGCTGCCTGCTGCCTGCTGCCTGCTGCTTGCTGCTTGTTGCTTGTTGCTTGCTGCCTGCTCCTCTTCAGAATCTTCCAAGCTCTACCTTTCGTCCGCCTCCATCGCCTCAAGCTTCTGATAGTTGCCCAGCGGGCGCAGGCAGAAAATGAAATGTACGAGAGGAAGCTTGATGTTGACAATGAGCAGACCGAGCAAGTGGATGAAAAGAGGAAGTTCGAGCCTTATGAGTCATATGAAAGGTTTGCGTTTTCATGTTTCATTCTAGACTCTAGACTCTTCTCAAGCGCTCCCAAGAAGTATTGACAAACAAGGAGTCGAATGGACTTCTTTCAGGAATTGGAGTACGCATGGTGCCTTGAGATGCAAAAGTTGCGTGTTTCATGTTTTTTTTGCTGCGCTACGAGCAAAGTGGGCTTTGCAAGTATTTGCTCATTTGTGTATGTTTTGCTGTCCTCGTGCTCTCGGACAAAATTCACCGAAGCATATCAATCCTTCAACCCTTTCCACAAAGGTTCGGCTGCGCAAAGTGTTTTGATTTCCTCAAGAGTTGGAAGTTTCAATCTGCACATGCTTGCACTTGCAGTTGAGGTTGCCATACCTGGAGGAATACTACGAAACGCTGACTCCAGAGATGCGGAGTTTGGATTGGCGCCAAGAGGCATTGCTCGCGTTGAGCACTCTGTGACATCCGACACCAGCCTTGCCCTAACAAGTAGTCAAACAGATGTTACTCGTTTTCATTTTAGAAAGACGTGGCAACGGCGGAAAATTTGTTTGAACATCGGAAGGACCTTTGGCGATTGCACCCTCAACAACGGCGTGAATGCTATCGGCAATGGCTACTGGAGGCAAAGTGTTCTTTTTGGGGCCCAAGGTCGGCAACCTTCAAAGGCAAGCGAAAGGATGCAATTCACAAACAGTGCAGCAAGGCGCATGAAGAAGCCAGAGGAATTCTGCCAGAGCTGGCACATTTGCTGGAGAGGAATGCCGAAAGCAGGGCAGTTTTGCTCTCAGATGTCCAATTCATGCTTTGCTACCGCACTGATGCCTTAATCCACAAGGCTCTGGATCGCGATCGCAAGCTGGCAGTTCTCCGCGAGATGCAGGCTAGTCTCATCCAGTCGTAAGTCAGAATGGTTGGGGTATCCAGCTTCACGGCATGGCACAAGCATGGGCACGCCATTGAGAAAAGCATAAGCAACACGATTCCAAGGTTGTTGGAATGACGACAACCGCTGTCTCCAAATATCAGCTCCTCCTCAAGGACCAAAGTGACCAAGGTATGTAGCAGGCATGACAGATGACCCTGAAATTAAGGAGGTGTACAAAATCAATTCGAATATATACATTTATCGACATACTGCAATGGTGGAATCATATCATTTCCCAAATTCGCCAAACTAGTTGCTTTCTTACAAAATTCGCTCCACTTCGTCAGGAGCTGCGACCAGAAATCGTGATTGTGGAAGAAGCCGCAGAAGTATTGGAAGCACAGCGCCCAGAGTCGGAGTCCGTTCCCAAATGTGTAGCGAAAGGTTCTCGTTTAACTGTGGGGGGTTGGGGGTAAACTCTTGTTCGCGACCCATTGTCGTAGCGACCGCAACCGTTCGCGGTAGACCTCTGTGGCGCTGACATTGGGCGAGGCTTTTGGAGAAGGCTTTGGATGGAAGCATGACGTGTCGGATTCGTGCGATATATACATATATATATATAGGAAACGTGTGGAAACGTTGTTGTGGAGACTTAACGCGTGACTTTTGGAGGGAGTCTCGTACGAAACGCTCGTTTTGGAGACTGGAAATGTGACTTTTGGAAGAAGTCTCGCAAGGACGTACATACAAGAGTGTTCAACAAGAGTGTCCCGCAAGAGTGCCCCACAAGGGTGGCGTGTCCACAAGAGTGTCCTACAAGAGTGTCTCCTACAAGAGTGCCCTACCACAAGAGTGTCAAACAATGCTTGGCCGCTTGTTTTCGAGTGCGTGTGTGCACTCGGGTTCGTGGGCTACATTATTCTACTTGCTGTTCTTGGAGTCAGCCTGATATAGTCGTGGTATCTATTTATTGTGTTTTTTGTGTGGGCTGCTTAATTTGTTTTCTAAATGTATGTGATGTAGAGTTGAGCAAGGGTCTTTTCCCGAATGCATAGCGAAGGGTTCCCGTCCATACTTGGGCCTGGGGGTTGCACCTGTGTTCGCTTCGCGTGCTCTGTGTCATCGTCTGTCGTCGTCGCGTCGTCGCTAATTTGTCCACATTGGGCAAAAACTTTTGGAGAGGGCTTTGGATGGAAGCATGACGTGTCAGATTCGTGTGAACTGGCGAGGAAACGTGTGGAAACCTGAGATGTTGAAGTGTGGAGGATGATTTCACTGCGCAGGCGCAGCGTTTTGTGCGCAATTTTCTGCGTAGTCAGATTGGGATCGGCGTTTGGAGGGTGGTGTTTTGTTGGATGTGGCTGTGACATCGGGGTTTGCGTTCCAGGGTGTTGCGTCGAAGCTGTGTTTTCTTGACAGGTCTCAGCCGAAATGGTGATTTTGGTGGATGGGAGCGTGTTCAGAACGAACGCGTCGAAATCATTCCAAACCTGTGGCATGGTGCAAAATTTGCTGAAGCTAACGTGATATGATATACGGTCATTTTTCGTGGCAGGCACAGTGCTTTGTGCGGTTTTTGAGGTGTGGAAGTGCAATTATTTTCGTGGCAGGCGCAGGGAACCGTGAGGGCGCGAGGTGTGGCGGAGGTCATATTTCGTGGCAGGCGCAGTACTTTGTGCGCGTTGGAGGTGTGGACGGACTTCCTCCACAAGTCACGTGTCAATCCTCCGAAGCGAGCGCGTCGTACGAGACTTCCTCAAAAACTCACCCTTCAAGTCTGCAAAGCAAGCGTTTCATACGAGACTTCCTCCAAAAGTCGCGTGTCAAGCCTCCACAAGGAGCGTCTCGTACTGCCAAGCAGGTTCGCGATTCCATCCCCTCCAAACAACACCTGCTCAGACGCCAATCCCAATGTCACGGCGACATACACCTCCACCACAGTTCGCAACCTCGCGATTCTCGTACGAAACGCTCGTGTCGGAGGATTGACGTGTGAATATTGGAGGAAGTCTTGTACGACGTGCTCGTTTTGCACACTCGTTTTACAGGGATTGACGCGTGACTTTTGGAGGAAGTCTCCAGCGAAACGCTCGTTTTGCAGACTTGAAGTGCGAGTTTTTGAGGAAGTGTCGTACGAAACGCTAGTTTTGCAGACTCGAAGTGCAAGTTTTTGAGGAAGTACTCGTACGAAACGCTCGCGTTGGAGGGTTGAGGCGCGAATTTTGGAGGAAGTCTCGTCCGAAACGCTCGTTCTGCACACTTGAAGTGTGAGTTTCTGAGGAAGTCTCGTACGAAACGCTAGTTTTGAGACATGACGAGGCTTTCGTAGTAGTGTTTCAATCAGGGTCCCACAATCCCGCGAGGGTGTTCCATAAGAGCGTCCTAAAAGAGTGTCCTACAAGAGCGCCCCACAAGAGTGTCCCACAAGAGTGACCGACAAGAGAGTCCGATAAGAGTGTCCGACAGGAGTGTCCGACAGGAGTGTCCTACAAGAGTGTCCCACAAGAGTGTCCCCCAGTGTTCCACAAGAGTGCTCAAGAGTGTCCCGCAAGAGTGTTCCATAAGAGTGTCCGACAAGAGTGTCCTACAAGAGTGGTGTCCCACAAGAGTGTCCGTCAAGAGTGTCCTATAAGAGTGTCCGAAAGGGTGTCCCACAAGAGTCTCCTACAAGAGTGTCTCACAAGAGTGTCCGACTAGGGTGTCCGACAAAAGTGTCCCACTATAGTGTTCCACAAGAGTGTTGGACAAGAGCGTCCCGCAAGAGTGTTCCGTAAGAGTGTCCGACAAGAGTGGCCCGCACGAGTTCCCCACAAGAGCGTCGTACAAGAGTGTACGACAAGAGTGTCCTACGAGGGTGTCCTAAAGGGTGCCCCACAAGAGTCTCCTACAAGAGTGCCCCACAAGAGTGCCCTGCAAGAGTGTCCCTCAATAGTGCCCGACAAGAGTCTCCTACAAGAGTGTCCCACAAGGGTGTCCCACAAGAGTCTCCCACAAGAGTGTCCCACACGAGTGTCCGACAGGAGTGTCCTACAAGAGTGTCCGACAATAAGACTGTTGGACACGAGTGTCGTGCAAGAGTGTTCCATAAGAGTCAAGAGTGTCCTACACAAGAGTTCCCCACAAGAGTGTCCCACAATAGTGTTCCACAAGGGTGTTCGACAAGAGCGTCCCGCAAGAGTGTTCCATAGGAGTGCCCGACCAGAGTGTCCTACAAGAGTGCCCCACAAGAGTGTCCCAGAAGAGTGTCCTAAAGGGTGTTTCACAAGAGTCTGCCCCACAAGAGTGTCCTACAAGAGTGTCCTACCAGAGTCACCAGAGTGTCCCACAAGAGTGTTCCACGACAAGTGTTCCATAAAAGTGTCCGACAAGAGTGACCTACAAGAGTGTCCCACAAAAGTGTCCTACAAGAGTGTCCGGCAAGAGTGTCCCACAACACCTTGCCACAAGAGTGTCCCGCAAGAGTGTTCGACAAGACTGTCCGACAAGAGTGTCCTGCAGGAGTGTCCCACAAGAGTGTCTTACAAGGGCCCCACAAGAGTGTCCTACAGAAGTGTCCCGCAACAGGTTCCCGCAAGAATGCCCGACAAGGTGCCTGACAAGAGTGTCCTACAAGTGTGTCCCACAAGAGTGTCCCGCAAGAGTGCCCCGCCCACAAGAGTGTCCTACCAGAGTGTCCCACGAGAGTGTCCGACAAGACTGTCCTGCAAGAGTGTCCCGCAAGAGTGTTCCGCAAAAGTGCCCCACAAAATTGTTGGACAAGAGTGTCCTACAAGTGCCCCACAAGAGTGCTTGACAAGAGTGTTCGTCATACAAGAGTGTCCGACACCAGTGTCGCACAAGAGTGTCCCATAAGAGTGTCCTACAAGAGTGTTTCGCAAGAGTGTCCTACAAGAGTGTTCCGCAAGGGTGTCCCACAAGAGTGAGTGTCATACAAGAGTGTTCCACAAGTGACATACAAGAGTGTTGGACAAGAGTGCCCCGCAAGAGTGTCCCACAAGAATTGTCGGACAAGGGTATCCTACAAGAGTTTCCCACAGGAGTGTCTCCTACAAGAGTGTCAAAAATTGTTTGGCGTTTGTTATCGAGTACGTGTTTGTATTCGGGTTCGTGGGTTTCATCATGCTTTTATCGTTGCTTCGCCCCCCCCACAGAAACTAAATATCCGTAATGCGTAAAGGTCAAAGATGTTTGCAGTCAATGGAGTTCCTTCTTGACAAACAATGTTTCACTTGGACTGGCAAGTTTGATGCCTTGGTTTTCGCTCCGACTCACGCGCGTCAGTGTCCATTTCCGCATATCGCACGATTCAGAGGCTCAACGACTCAGCAAACGGAGCTTCATGCAGTCTTCACGTAACCAATTGACAAAGATAGACTACTCCTGAAGCGCTTCAGATCCTCCGATCTTCCAACCTCGAAGCTAGACAACACGTGCGAAGATGACCAAACTTTTGTCTATATGTCTCCCTTGGAAGCTCAAGAAGCCTTTGTACAGATTGTTCCAGAACGCAGCTTTGAAGGCCAAAGAAGTATATATAGTTTTCATTTCTTGGCTTTTGAAGTGCAGCTGCCTCGAGCAAAGCGTACTTGGTGAGAGGCCAACATGGGTTCCTACACATCTGGATGCGCCGGAGATTGTGAGAACTGCAGTGCGCCCAGGGCAGAAAGTCACCATCACCTTTGCGGGGTTCCACAATTGTTCGACCACTGCAAGGCTGCGTTGTCTTATTGCTGCCCACAAAGACTCGCCCAGACACAAACTTAATGCAAGCGCATGCCACTGAGGTACAGCATGCACACGCAATGGGCCACGCCATCTATTTATCTAGTAAAGATATGATATGGCACATGAGCATGGCCCGACAGCCTGATGGTCGGTCGTTTTGACCCCCTTGGAAAAAGCGCCAGGTGCGGGCACTTGTGCCTTGCACAGGATAAAGAGCAGAAAGCATTCATGAAGACCTTCACCGTGAATGCAACTGTCACAAGCTGAGCACAAACCCTTCTGTCTCCGCAGCTGCTTCTAGACATTGCGGG